GCAAGCCCAGGCGGAGGAGTCCAGCAGCAGGGACAGGGAGTCCTTGCAGAGGCTGTACTTCATGTGGTTGTACAGGTGCGACTTCTCCAGGCAGGTGAAGGGGCACTGGAAGCACTTGTAGTTGTACGGTTTGCCCCAGGGCCTCGGGATATAGTGGGGCTTCTTGGGCCTCCGTGCCCGGGCCCCAGCACCCACACGCCAGGCGCCGGCCTCGCGGGACATGGCAGCCTGCTAGTGGGCAGGGCCAGTGACCATGACCACCTGTGGACAGGGAGGGAATCAATCACCCAGCCCCTCAGACCTCTGCTCCCCCCAACCACTTGGACAGGGACGGGATCAGTGCCCACCCACCCCTGATCTGCTCCCCTCCCCCACTCAGGCAAGTGGGGACCAGCTTCTGCCCCCTCAGACCCCTGCTCCCCTGAGTCGGTCATGGGCCTCAGACTGACAGTGGTCACCAATCACCAGTTACAGGGTATCCAGGCACCACTGGTGGCCAAGCGGGAGCGGAACCTTGCTCTTAGGAGGTGTCTGCCATGCACTGCCGGGTCAAGGTCACCTGGCACCCGGCAAGAACTCAGTGACCAGAGACCCTTGGTTGACAAGCCTCCTGCTAGGTTGCCCCTGCCCCACCCTGCTCTGTCAGGCCTCCCAGCTGTGGGGAAAGCAGGTGGGCCAGCTGCAGCAGAAAGGGTCTGAGCCCACCCACCCCCGGTGTCAGCCCTGCCCCGGCTGTGCACGTATGTCATGTATGTGTGTGCATGTATGTGTGGTGTGTACACATGTGCCCTGTCCATGGGATTGTATGTGGTGTGTGCTGTGTCCATGCGTGTGCAAGTGTGTTGTGTGTGTCCAAGAGGGGGCTGGCTTCAAAGAGTTCCCAGATGATGTAACCATTCACCCAGCTCATTGAAAGGTTAAAAAAAAGTTAGTGGGGAAATTCCATGCCCTTTACATGGCATTTCCCACACGCTTTTGGAATTCCCTTTGTATTTGTGTGTGTGTGTTGTGCATGTGTAGATGTGTTTGTACACTGGGTACATGTCTGTTGTGTGGTTTGTTGCATACATGTATGTAGTTTGTGTGTTGATGTGTGTACACAGGTGTGGTGTGTGCACATATGTGTTTTCTGTCTCTGGTGTGGGCTGTGCACATGTGTATATTATGTGTTATGTGTGCATGTATACATGTATTGTTTGTGTCTATTGTGTTGTTTGGGTGTGTATGTGTGTGTGTGTGTGTGTGTGTACATGGGCCCCTGGTCCTGCTCCCTGGTGGCTGGGCATGGGGAGGGGAGGGCTTCCTGGGTCTTGCCCACACACGGGCCCCGACAGGCTGGGGGAGTGGACGTCACGGCTCGGCCTCCACTCCCAGCCACCTGCTCAGCCTGGCTCCATCTGGGAGGCTTCAGGCAGGTCAGTGGCCGAGTCCTGCCGTGAGCTCACTCGGCCACGACCCCCCTCCTCATGCCCTGCCGCCCACACTGGGCCAGCTCCACCTTCCATCTGCGACACCACCTGGGCCGCCCCCACCCCCAGGGTGAGCCTGCACCCAGTGTGTGTTGGGGCTGGTGTGTGCACCGGCGTGCGAGGCCTTGGTAAGCTGAGCTGGCTCAGAGTGTGGGAGGCCAGGGGCACACGCACACACCACACACACAGCTGACACCCATCGATGTATGTGGATAAACCCAGCAGACATGCACGTGATCACGGACACACACAACTGAGACACCACCCATGTGGGGACTCACACAAGGTCAGGGACCCATGCACCCTAGCACACAGACAAGGGCTCACATCCACCCACCAGGACACAAACCTACTGAAGGGCTCTCACTCACACGGCCCCCGCACACTGATAGAGACTCAAACTCATTCCCCAGGTGCCCCTGAGCCCCCACACCCTGGTCCAGGGGTCATGGTGGCCAGCAATCTCATCCAGCAGATGGGTTTGGAGTCCTTGTGTGTCCTTCAGGTGGCCAATGCCCACTTTGCTGTCCACCCCCTGGCACCCATGTGTGGGGAGAGCTGGGGGAGGATGGGCTGTGTTGGTGTCTATACCGGCAGGGGGGCTGGTGCAGTGGGCATCCTGAGAACTCAGCCAGGGGTGGGGGTGGCTGAGGAGCAGCCCCCTGCTCCCTGCCCCCCTGCCCCCCGAAGATGGGATGACAAATGGGCTCCAGCAACAGAGGCAGCTCTCCGGGACCATCGATCACACAGCCCTGGGAGCCACACAGCTGTGCCGCCGCCTGCCCTCCCGCTGGGCCCTGGACATGGGGGGGGTTCCTCCTGGTCCCTGGACATGGGGGGGGGTAACTCTTCTAAGTCCCTGAACATGTGTGGTGGTGGGGGCTCCTCCTGGGCTCTGGATGTGGGGGGCTGTCTCCTCCCAGGCTCTGGATGTGGGGGGAGCTCTTCCTAATCCCTGGATGTGTGTATGGGGTCTCTTCCCAGCCCCTGGATGTGTGTTGCTGCCAGGTCCCTGCCTGGGCTCACGGCTGGTTGGGAGTGCTCAGGTTGGCCCAGATGGGACCTGCAGCTTCCCACTCTGACCAGGGACCTGAGAAAGGTACCTCATGCAGGTGCTGGGCACCCAGAGGACATGATACACCCCCCGAGGTGCACAGAAACACAGAAACGGGGGCCTTGGATATGCACTGCCACACACTCACTCCCCCCTGGGTGTCATCCACACAGACCCTTCCCAGGACCCCCAAGACGCAGGGAAGAACGACACTTCCACCTCTCTGTCAGCCCGGACTCCTAGACTCCCTGCACAGGATGGAGTCGGGCCCCACACCCTCACTCCCATCTTCACCTCCCTCTCCCCCACCGCCCCGCCGCACCCCAACAGCGCTGCTCCCGCAGGACTAGGCTGCGCAGAAGGTGCCGGCGCCCGGACGCGGGGACGCGAAGGTCCTGGACGCCGCTCCGGACCCCCACCTGCTCCGAGCCCCGCGCGCGCGGGTCTGACGCCAAGTCCGCGCGCCCCCAGGTCTGCCCTAGGGGTAGGTGCAGCGCACCCCGGGAGCCTCGCCTCCCCCCGCA